TGGCCCAGGGCAGGGCACAGGCTGCAGCTGAATTTGGCCCCTCCCAGGAGGCCTTGGGTCTAACATGCCTAGTGGCCAGGTTCGGACCCAGTATGAGCATAACCCATCCACTTCTGGGACGACACATCCAAAGGACAGACTGGGCAGGCACCAAAGACCTGCTGAAGTGAATCCTGCTCCTTAGGGTCAGCCCCTGAACAATAGCTCCTCCACAGTAGTCACCCAGTCCTCACAACCAATCACCCTGAGGGTCAATCCCTTCTATAGACATGCAAACAGCAACTAAGGCTCAACTACAACAAGAGGGCGCACACAACCCACACAAGAGACACACCTGGAGTGCACAGCCCACGTGACCAAGATGACTGCGCCACTGAGCCCCACAGGACACCTACTACATAAGGCCACTCTACTAAGACTGGGAGACATAGCAGCTATACCTAACACATAGAAACAAACACAGGGAGGCAGCCAAAATGCAGAGACAAAGAAACATGTCCCAAATGACAGAACAGAACAAAGCTCCAGAAAAGGAACTAAACAAAATGGAGACAAGCAATCAACCAGATGCAGAGTTCAAAACACTGGTTATAAGAATGCTCAGTGATCTCTGGGAGAACTTCAACAAAGAGATAGGAAACATAAAAAAGAACCAGTCAGAAATAAAGAATACAATAACTAAAATGGAGAAAACATTAGAGAGAATCAACAGATTAGATGAAGCAGAGGATCAAATGAACTATTAGACAATAAGGTAATAGAAAACTCCATATCAAAACAGCAAAAAGAAAAAAAGAATCCCCAAAAATGAGGATAGTTTAAGGGGCCTCTGGGACAACATCAAGTGTACCAACATTTGCATTATAGGGATACCAGAAGGAAAAGAGAGAGAGCAAGAAATTGAAAACCCACTTAAAGAAATAATGACAGAAAACTTCCCTAACCTGGTGAAGGAAATAGACATACAAGCCCAGACAGCACAGAGTGCCAAACATGATGAACTCAAATGGGCCCACACCAAGACACATCATAATTAAAATGCAAAAGGTTAAAGACGAGGAATTTTAAAAGCAGCAAGAGAAAGGCAGTTAACCTACAAGGGATCTCCTGTAAGACTGTCAGCTCATTTCTCAACAGAAACTTTGCAGGCCAAAAAGGATTGTCACAAAATATTCAAAGTGATGAAAAACAAGGACCTACAACCAAGATTACTCTACCCAGCAGAGCTACAACTAGACTCAAAGGACAGATAAAGAACTTTCCAGATAAGAAAAAGCTAAAAGAGTTCATTAACACCAAACTAGAATTACAAAAAAAATCTTAGAGGGACTTCTTTAAGACAAAAACAAAAAAAAAAAAAAAAAAGATAAGGTGGATGGATAAGAAAACGAGACCCTTACATATGCTACCTACAGGAGACTCACTTCAGATCAAAAGGCATACACAGACTGAAAGTGAAGGAATGGAAAAAGACATTTCATGAAAATGAAAAAAAGCTGGAGTAGCAATACTTATATCAGACAAAATAGACTTGAAAACAAAGGCTATAACAAGAGACAAAGAAGGATCCAGTAATCCCACTTCTGGATATTAATCCAAAAAACCCCAAAATGCTACTTTGAGGGGACCTGTGCATCCATATATATATTCATTGCAGCACTGTTTACAATGGCCAAGATGTGGAGGCAGCCTGGGTATCCATCAATGGATTAATGGATTAAAGAGGTCTAACAATTAAGTTCGAGAACTTGTTGCAATGATGTTGCTAACCTTTTTTGATATCAGAGGGATTATTCATTTTGAATTTGTACCAACTGGACAACCAGTTAACCAGTTTTACTTTTTGGAAGTGCTGAAAAGGCTATGTGAAAAAGTTAGACAACCTGAACTTTCTGCCAACAATTCATAGCTCTTGCATCACGACAATGCACCAGCTCACATGACACTGCGTGTGAGGGAGTTTTTAGCCAGTAAACAAATAACTGTATTGGAACACCCTCCCTACTCACCCGATCAGGCCCCCAATGACTTCTTTCTTTACCTGAAGATAAAGGCAATATTGAAAGGAAGATATTTTGATGACATTCAGGACATCAAGGGTAATATGATGACAGCTCTGATGGCCGTTCCAGAAAAAGAATTCTAAAATTGCTTTGAAGGGTGAACTAGGCGCTGGCATTGGTGCATAGCTTCCCAAGGGGAGTACTTTGAAGGTGATTGTAGTGATACTCAGCAATGAGGTATATAGCACTTTTTCTATGATGAGTTCATGAACTTAATTGCCTGGCCTCATATATACAATGAAATATTGCTCAGCCATGGAAGGGAATGGGTTATTGCCATCTGAAGTGGCATGGATGGACCTGGAGGATATTGTGCTGAGTGAAGTGTCAGACAGAGAAAGACAGATGCAATGTGATTTCATTTTTATGTGGAATCTAAAGAATGAAATAAACAAAGCAGACAAACTCATAGATAACAGAGAACATTTTGATGGTTGCCAGACAGGAAGGGGGATGGGTGCTGGTGAAAAGGGGGAAAGGATTAAGAAGTACAAATTGGCTGTTACAAAGTAGTCATGGGAATGTAGGGTATAGTATAAGGAATATAGTCAATAATATTGTAATAATTATGGATAGTGTCAGATGGGTACTAGATTTATTGGGGTGATAGATGGGAGGGGGGTTGGAGACGGGAAAAAAGTGAAGGTATTAACAAGTACAAATTGATAGTTACAAAATAGTCATGGGATGTAAAACATGGGGAATATAGTCAATAATACGGTAATAACTATGTATAGTGCGAGGTGGTTTACTAGACTAGTCAGAGGGATGTACTGCATAAAGAATATTCGTATAGCCAATAATACTGTGATAGCATGGTACAGTGTCAGATGGTTGCTGGACTTATGGTGATCACTTCTTTAGGTATATAAATGTTGAATAATCACTGTGTACACCTGAAACTAACATAATGTTGTATGTTAGCTATTTTTAATAAAAATCTTAAATAAATAAGTAAAAGGAGAGATGGTCATCAAAACAGATGGTTAAAACAGAGCAATAAATCTTAGGACAGAGGAAGCACAAGAAACTCTAGCAGCTCATGGTAGGACAAGCAACCCAATGCAGGAAATCCAGGAAGGTTTCTCAGAAGGGGAGATTCTTTTTTTTTTCCTCCTCATCACGATTCCTCACTGGAATTTAAGGGTTGAGAATGTACTAGCCAAGTAAAAAACGGGAGAAGGTCTTCCAGACAACAGCATGTGAGAGGCCTTGAAACAGTATGGCGATATGGAAGAAAAGCGAGAGACTCGAGGCAGTTAAAGCATGGTATCCATGAGATAGGAGAAGAGGCTAGAGAGAAAGATGGTGCTAGATGGTGTTAAATATGGCATTAAACTTCCTTTTATACCAAGCTAAGGAGCAGGTCGAAGCGTGGCACATGCAGAAAATTATCTTAAGAGGGAGGATCCCAAAACATTAAAAACAAAAAAATACTCCCAAAACACACACCCAAACAAAACAAATTTCATTTCCTGCTAATTTATGTGGAACTTTAGAAGATGGATATCCTAAAATAAAACAACTCCAACAACTGTTCTAAGGTGACACAACTCAGAAAGGGTGTAAACCACTTCTTCTGAATTTTAATAGCACTTTATATCTTCCTTTGAGTACTTGTCACTTTTTGCTAATCATTTGTGTCTTATCTGTAATGGTTACCAGCTCCTTCTGAGCATAAACCAGGTCTTGATCATTCATCCTACAACATTTTATTGCAACCCAGTCTGAATAGGCAAGGCGCCTCAATAGTGCCTAGCACACAGTAGATGTTAGATAAATATTACATAGTATCGTGGAGTTATGTGATATCACAGCTGAAAAACTCTTTAAAGATATTCTAATCCACAGTTTCTCAACCTTTTTTAAAGAATCTGAAAAACGCTGTGGACTGTCTTCCCCCCAAAATTCACAGATAGAAAAACATTTTACATAAAATTTCAGGGCCCACGATGCCCAGAGGGTTAGTAAAGTTAACTTATCCAAAGTCACAAAGGTAGTAAGTGGCAGAACCAAGCCTAGAACACAAGTTTCCTGGTTCCCAATTCAGTACTCTTCCCACTGCAAATGGACAACTTGAGTTGGGTTGTTTCCTGCTGGGAGACTGCCCAATACAGGTCTCAGACATGGCAATGTTCCTCTCGTGAAATTCCCTGATAAAAGGATGATGCTCAGGAGAACACGGCAAGTTTAGGGGATTCTGAGGCCCAAGTACAATGGTATTGAACTTCTGCCAAGGAGAGGCAATGAGAGATGTGCATGGTTACGTGGGAGCATTAAAATAAGCCAAAGAACCAAAAGTGATATTGAAGATTCCCCGAGTGCAACAGCAAACTCTTTACTGTTTACCGGAAGTGATAGAATCATGCCTCAAAGCCAGAAGTGACTTTCAGGCCAGTGTTGTGTTCACCTCACCAGAAAATTCTTTGCATGTCCACAAAAACCTAACCACCATAGGAGCAACCCTGCAGCTGGGGCCACTGAAATAGGCTGAATAATCTTATAATGCTTAGAACTAACTCCCAGTTATCTGTGACAATGGATTCAAGGAACACATACATATTTTAAGTCTGCAAATACTATATAAAACTCAGTTATTTGGCTGAAAGTGTCAATTCACCTCTACTTTCCACAAACCATTCACTCAACTAAACTGAATGTATCATTTCCATTGTAAACTAAGTACTAAAAAGATATCACAAGTAATAGCAGCAAATTATGTGCTTTTCACTGTGATAACCTGGTCTAGGGACAAGACTAGGAGCTGGCAGGAACATCTCCACTCTGGATAATATCCAAACTAAGTAACTGGAGAGGACCAAGGGATGACCCCTCTCCTTTCCAGCTCCATTACTATCCAACCTATGCAGATCTGATCTTCTGGTATTTGTAAAAGCTGCACACCCTCCTTTTTTAAAGGACCCCTGTCCCCTTTACCTCTTGTACTTTAACTAGATGCTTGTATCTTCCAATGCCATGGGTGGGCTTTGTCTTGTAGTGCCGGCTGGTACTCAGTATGATGCCACCTAAAAGAGACAAAATAAGACAAACTGTTTCAGAGCTCCTCCAGGGACAGACAAATTCTCCACTGCAAGACTGGTCAGATTTGGGGGCAGCAGGCCTCTTGTTTGTTTAAAGAACCAGACCTATTTTTTGATCCTGGGCTGACTCCCAGTTTACCCCCCTTTTCTCTCCTTTGGCCCCTGGAACAATCCCCACCACCCATCTTTCTTTGAGAATTCTCTCCTGCTAAAGCCACTCTACTCATGGATGGTAGAGGGACAAAATACATTCTCATGGGGTTCTCGTTTTCTCTTGTCCCTCAACAGGTAATAATCCTTCTGAAGTTTTCTACTGCACAGTATATACACAGTGGCAAATATAACCAGGTAAGAGACAATCACCGATTTACACGAAGTTTTAAAAACCATCTAATGTGATTTATTTGTGCTGATACAGAACAATCTCTAACACACATTAATTGAATAACAATAAAAACAGAAACCTAAGGTACAGACAGTGTATATGTATACTACTTCTAAGTATAAAATGGGATCTCCATATTACAAGTACATATTCATTACAATAGGCCCAGAGATGCACCACCCAGATCCCCCTTTAAGGAAGGACTTGCAATATGTACATATTCTCCTTTAATCCTCATTATTTTTATCCTCATTTACAAATAAAGAAACTACAGCTCAAAAAATAATGGTGAGTGGGGCAAGTAAAATCCAGCAAGTAAAAGACAGATTACAATTTAAACCCAGGCTTATTTGGCTAAACAGCCTGTGCTCATCTGATCTTTCCTAATTCAGATCTCAGTTCCTTATCTCTACCCTTTCACTGGAACCAGCCCTACACAGTTCTGCTATGTCTGTCTGTCTCTCTTGCTCGCTGTCCATCTTCTGCAAAAGTACTAGTCCTAGGTTCTGCTCCCTTTCCTCCCAGCTCCCATGGTCCTACCCTCATCTCCACAGGGTCATCACTCGATGGGGGGCTAAATGCAACATGGTGTGGAAAAGTCTAATGACATCAAGAGGGATGTTGCATAAGCCTCTCTCTTCTAAAACGGGCTTCCAATTCCAAGCAATTCTGCTCTGTGCCAGGCCAATCAGAGATCGGCTTCAGAGTCAATCCTGCATTTACAACCCATACTATTTCACCCGGACAACGCTGGATGACTTACATTCATCCACAGTTACTATTACATGCCAACAACTGTATAAACACTAGGACAGAGATGACTAAATATGCTACTTTCCCCAGACACTCAGTGTGTACCTGGGAAAGATGATGGGAATGCAGAGAGTTTCCTTATGGTGTATAAAATACTTTGATGGAGATGAAAAGCAAGGTAGTGAGTGCCTAAAGGAAGGAACAACTAATTCTGCCTTGGGGAGTGGGCAGAGATTCCCAAAGAGCACCGAACATAACTGAGGTGTGTTCTTGGCCACTGTCCCAATTCTGCCTCTCTGAATCTGAGACCTTTGACCTTTTGAGCCTTCAGGTTCCAACTCTGAAACTTGGGGCCTCACCCAAGGAGCTGATATTCAAATTGTACTGATGGTTCTATAATCACCCTCATACCAGAGCCTTGCAAACTAATTTTATTATAACCTCAAAATAGGAGAGGCAATGAGAAATGTGCATGGTTACATGGGAGCATTCAGATAAGCCAAAGAACCAAAAGTGATGTTGAAGACTGCCTGAGTAGAACAGCAAAATCTTCTGTTGCTATCCTAAAAAACACGGAACTCTCCAAAGCACGTTCATTCATTCAACAGTTATTTATTATTACCCATCAGGGTAGCTACAACCACGTGAATGGCACACACTAAAGTTGTGCAGTGTATGAACAACCCAATATCCATGGCAGGACTGACTGGTACCACACAGCACCCTAGAAGCTGGGGCTAGAACAATGGAAAAAGTGCTCACAATACAGAACCTATGATCTAGTGGGGAGACAGTAATACCAATGCTGTCTCTATCCACAGAGCCCCTTCATGGGTTCTTTGAGAGATCTTTAAAGTCAGAAATTTCAGAATTGAACATAATGATATTCGGAAAAGAAGAGCAGGGAGCAGTGCTTTGTTCCTACCTTCACCCATCATACTCTCTGTGGGCTCTGGGTACCATCCCAGCTGCTCTCTCCAAGGTGTGGGCCTGATTGTAGGGGCCATCTTTTTCTTACTGATTAGGGCTTTATACATGAGAAGGGGCACTGAGAGTGGACTTGAGGTGTTGGGAAAGGATTCTTAGAGCAGGTGGCTTTTAAGTAAAACTTAAAGGATGACTGAGTTAGTGAGGAGAGAACACGGTATGGGGAGGGAAAGAGTCAGAGAATTTCAAGGCACAGCATGAGGAGCAGGGTGGCAAGAGATAGGTTTACAAAAACAGGCAAAGCTTAGGAAGGGCTTAGTTGCTGAGTACTTAGGATGTGCCAGGCACTGTACAAAGAGTTGGGGATATAAAAGTGGACAAGGCCAACAAAACTCTGGTTATGGAGCTGACAGTCTAGTGGGAGGAAGGAGTCATTAACGGACTAGTCACAAAATAAATATAAAATTACAAATCATAAATAATAAAAAGGAAAAGCACAAAGCGCTATGGCAATACAATCAGTGGATCTATTTTAGATTGGAATATCAGGGAAGGCCTCTCTGAGAAAATGGCATGTGAACTGAGACCAGAATTCAGGAGGAAATGGTGAGTGTGGTTATCCCCGGGGGTGGGGGGTGGGGCAGTGGCTAAAAGGCAGGAGAAGAGGAAGACTTATGTTTATTTTATACTCTTTCATATTTTTAAAAACTTGTTCCATGTGTATGTATTATTTATTAAAAAATAAATAATTAGGGCCGGCCGAGTGGCTCAGTTGGTTAAGAGCTCGCTCAAGAGTTTGAGCTCTGAGCAACAGTGGTTTGATTCCTGGCCTGAGATGAGCAGCCGCTGAGCTGCCAACAGGTGGCAGGATGGCTCAGCTTAAATACATACATACATACATACATACATACATACATACATACATACATACATAAATAAATAAATAAAGTAAATTCAGACCTGAAAGGCAAATAGGAGTTTATTAGGTAAAAAGACAGAGGATGAATGTTCCAGGCAGAAGGAATAGCTGTGCAAAGGCCCCAGTGTAGAACAGAGCTTGGCACATTCAAGGAACAACAGCAGGGCTTTCAGTGTGGCTGGCACAGTGAGAGGGATACAGAGTGTACCAGAGACTAGAGCAGTGGGCAGAACACACAACACTGGGCCTTGTGAAGGGTTTGGATTTCAGGCTGGACAGCCATGAGCAGGGAAGTTACAATATATGTCTGATATGTCTTAAAAGGGTCACTTTGGTTGTTGTATGGAAAAGGGGGTGGGGAGAAGGAGTATGATGGAATGGTTAGGAGATTCGAGTGGAAGCCTTGGCTAAGTTGGTGGTGGTGATCTCACTGTAGCCACATCCCCTTCTCTATTCCTTCTTCTAGACTCTAGAATATAGAGCTAATCCTTCTAAAAGACAGGCTTAACCATATTCATTAATTCAACCATTTGTTCATTGCACACACACAATTTAAAAAGTACTTACTACGTGCAAGGCACTACACCAGTCACTACAGACACACCAATGAACGAAACAGGGATGGTCTTTGTCATATTTGAAAATGTCTGATGGTTTTCCACTGCCCAAAGTTCCCACTCCTTAGGTAAGTAATTAAGAACCTTGATTTTATAATCTAGTTCCAACTATATCATCTCCTAATTCTTACTCTCCTCCAGGCCTTTGAAAAGTTGCTCCTCAGTCATAGAGATGCACTTGCCATTCTGTATAAACCATACAGTTTTCATGCCTCTGTGCCATGCTGGGCAGTCCCTCCTGCTGGGACCGCACCTATCTGACGGTTGAAATCCTACACAGCCTCCAGGGCCAGCTCAAATGTCACCGTCTTTGGAAAACTCTTCTGCTGCCCTAAACATACAAAAATCACAGATTTTACTTCATGGCTACAGATCTCCCATGCCTTCATTATATAGAAAAACCTTTTGTGTAAATAAAAAACTCAGATACCAATCGCCATTTAAGTACACAGAAACTCAATAACCCACCAGTGGTTTCAAACAGCAGAACTGAAAGTGACCTTTGAGATGATGACACGTCTCAGGTGACAGTGCCACAGATGCTTGCCTCAGCCTCTCCCCTGCTGGAATTCCTTGGCAAGGAGGCATTTTCAAATTCAGTTTGGGGCAATTCCCATAATTAGATCAGCTGGTTAACTAAGAAGCTGATTGAAATTACTGTTAAATTAACCATTTCCCCCTTAAATGAAAGGTTTTGGTCAAATTATCAGTGGTTAAACTGCTTAATTAGCTAGTTGTTTTAATTATAAAATTTACAAGTTTGGAAGCCTCTGATTTTTAATAAGTTCAACTGAATTTTCCCCCTGCTCTGTGTCATTAAGCTGGGTTTCCTGCTGTCATATTAACATTGCAGCCTCCTGAGAGAAAAGGCAACTCTTTTCAGTGAAGAAGACACAAAACCCCAGGATTTCCAAAGGAGGCTTTGAAAATCTTTCAATTAGCACGACTGTACGATGTAATCACGTACTGACTTTTTCCACATCACACCCCTTCTTTTATATATGCCAGAGCCAACTGTTTTTCAATGTCCTTGTTTACTAAACTGAGTACTAAACCATCAATCCAGGATGGGGGTAAACAACTTCACTTTAATTATTCCTCCTTCAAAGAAAACACTGGGGTAGCCCCAGCCAAGGATTAATTACAGGGTATTCTATCCATTCAACAGACTGCAAGTCCCTGATACACCCCAGCACCTGGCAAATAGTAAAAATAGTATGTGCTCAGAAAATGTATATATGTACATACATATGTATAAACATATAAATGTGTGTGTGTGGGCATATATATATATATATATATATATATATATATATATATACACACACACACACACACGTGTGTGTGTGTGTGTGTGTGTGTATCCTCCAGATAGTTTACCAAGACAGTCTGCAATGATTTGGCCCTGGCAGCTACCCACTTTTTTCAAAATCTCTTCAAACTTTTTTAGTTTTTCTTATTACACTGAACTACTTGAACTGGAATATACTATGTTTTTCTAACTCCACCTTTTTGCTCATGCAGAGGACTCATTTAACCTTCATTTAACCTCTTTAGACCTCTTTATAAATATTTACTTCTACCTCTCTATGTATTTTAAATCAGGAAGAAAAAGATGGCCCCTACAATCAGGCCCACACCTTGGAGAGAGCAGCTGGGATGGTACCCAGAGCCCACAGAGCGTATGATGGGTGAAGGTAGGAACAAGGCACTGCTCCCTGCTCTTCTGAATATCATTATAATTTAATTTTGAAATTTGTGACCTTAAAGATCTCTCAAAGAACCCATGAAAAATGCCAACAAAGCTGTGTCTTTTCAGGTAGATGAGTTACTCTGGGCCTTGGAGCCCTCTAGACACTGGGATTCCCTGATGACAATTGAAAAATGGGCAAAGGAAAAGATAAGTGGCCAGTAAAGTATGAAAATATGTTCAAGCAACTAGTAATCAAAGACATGCAAATTACAAATACAAGGGATGACATTTTTAAACTTATAATGTAAGCAAATATTAAAAAATAATAACATTCAATGTTGATGAGTGTATAAAAATACCAAATACCAAAGAAGTATAAAATGATTCAGTCTTTCTGGAGAACAGTTTGGGAATACACATCAATAGCTTTAAAAATGTGCTTTAAAAAATAGCTTCAAAAATTTCCTGTGACCTAACAGTTCGACTTTTAGAACCGTATCTTAAGTAAATAATCAGACAATAGCACAAATACTAATAATGTATAAGGATGTTCATCACGGTGTTGTTTACATTGGAAATCCTTGGAGACAAATTCCTCCAAATAGTTAACTGTTTGAGTAAATTATGTTATTATTCCTGACCTTTCTCTTCAAAAGGATCCGTATTGGATCTTTCTCAACAGCATTTAACATGCCCTATTTGATCCCAGCTTTAAAATAAAAACAAAACAAAACAAACAAAAAGCCTCAGAATTAGGCAGCTATCAAATACTAAAATATACTGTGAAACTATAACCACTAGTGTTAAAACAGCTTGGTACTGGCATCAAATATTCAGACAGATCACTGAAACAAAACAAAGTTAAAATAAACCTGGGGGTGTTATGGAAATTTAGTATATGATAAAGGTGATAATCTCAAACCTATGGGGAAAAGATGGATGTTTAATAAGTGTTGAAACAAAATGACTACCCATTTGGAGGGAAAAATGTATCCCTACCCACTTCTAATTCCAGATGGACCACATATTTAAAGGAAAAAAAAAATACCAGAAGATAACATGAAGGATTTTAAAAAAATAATCTTGGAGTACAGAAGATGTTTCTAAGCATGAAAAAAATATATAGAAATCAAAGATTAATAAACTTAGCTATGTAAAAAGTTAAAACTTCTATTTAACAAAAAATGCACAGTCAAGGGACAGATGACTGGAAATACAAAGCATACATGAAAAGAAAGTGCTAATTTCCTTAGGATAGAAAAACTACATAAAAAGTTCTTACAATTAAGAATGAAAAAGCAAACAATCCAGTGGAAAATGAACAAAAAATAGAAACAGGCAGTTCATAAGGAAAGAAATACAAATGGCTAATAAAAACTTTAAAAAGATGACAAACTCAAGTAATGTAAATTACAGGGAAGCAATTTTTCACTAGCAAAAAAATAAGATGTTTTCTAAAACCCAGTTTTGCCAGCAAATAGAAATGTAAATTAATACAACTTCTCTGAAGGTCTATCAGATGATCCTTACCAAAATTTTCAATTCATAATCCATTGACTCAGCAATTTCAATTCCAGGAATTTATCTTACAAATATACAGGAACAAGTTTACAAAGATGTATAAAAAGGTTCCTGCAACATTATTTGAAATAGCAAAAACAAAAAACAACCCAAATGCCCAGCATTAAGATACAGTCATACACACACAAATATATATATGTCCATATGTACAAAAAATTTTCTTGAAAAACATACAAGGAATTGCTATTAGTGGATACACCTGGAGTAAGACTGAGAAATAGAAAAAAATTCAACTTTTTATCATACATCTTTTTGTACAGTTTATATAGACTTTTACCATATGCATCCATATGAATGCATTTAAGATTTCTTTAACAGTTGATAATTTTAATACTAATTAAAAAAAAACTTCCTCAGAATACACAGCAGTTCAAAATGAACTTTGTCTCTGGTTGAGGGTTAAAGGATGAAACCACAGCTAGGGAATAAGACGATTTGAGCATAATCCCTTCCTTTTTAATACAAAAAAAAAAAATCTGACAAAATGTTAATAACTGCCAAACCTGGATTTGACATATTATCTTTTTTGCTTTTCTACTTTTTTATATCTCTCAAAATAAAAAGTGTAATTAAAAGAGAAATAACCATTAAAAAAAGAAAAACTTTCCTGGATCCCACATCCCTCTCCATCTCCTGCCAACCTTCTTTCCTCCCATTAACAGTCAAACTTCACAAAAACATTGTCTATAATAGCTTTCCCTATCTCCTGAACTCCTATTCACTTGTGAACCCACAGTTGACTTCCACAACTGATCTACCCCACCTACCCAGACACTGCTCTTACTAAGGTCACCAGATAAGCTCTTTGTTGCTAAAGCCAAAGATATTGTTGATATCTTTCATGATCTTTCAGCAGCACACAGTTGAAACTCTAATCTGGTTGACCACTCGTTCTTTCTTGAAACACTCTCATTTTGGCTGCCATGAAACTAGACTACCTGCTTTTCTCGCACCATTTTGGCCTCCCATTTTCCAGTTCTTTCACCCTCTACCCAATTTTCTAACGTTGAAGTTCCTCGGGGCCTGATCCTTGTGCTTCTTCTCTAGTTGTTCTCCTCAGGTGATCTCATTTAGTCCCATGACATCAATTGACATGGACAACATGATGGCTTTCAAATTTACAGTTTCAACCCAAACCTATATTTTGAACTCAAGATCAGTGTATCCAATGGGCTAATTAATATATCCTCCTCACAAGCACTCAAGTTAACATGTTCAAAATTAGACTCAAAATCTTCCCTTCCAAATTGTTTCTTTTAAGGCAGTACATTCAAAATAATTATATAAATATTTATTTATCTATTATAGTAGAAACATGTTAATCATAGACTAAGTGGGGGGAAAAGGAAATTATAAAGCATTATATATCATTTGTTCCTATTACTGCAAGACAAAAAGATATATATAGATATCTTTATATATATATGTGTGTGTGTGTGTGTGTATACATATATATATATATTTAGATATCTAGATCTATCGCTATATATCTATCTAGATATCTATATCTATTTATCTACCTATTTCTATCTTTATCTGTGTGTATATGTGTGGAGACATATATATGGAGAGAGAGAGAGAAACCTGGTAGGATATACACCAAAACGTTAAGCAGTAATCTCTGGATGGTAGGATTACAGGTGATTTTTATTTTCTTCATCTTCTTCATGTGTGTGTGTGTGTTTATTTTCCATATTCTCTAAAATGGATGTTTTTCACTTTTATAATGAGACACTTATTCTTAGTTATTTTTTTAAATCTCCTGATAGGATGCAATATGAAGTTCAGAGCATCAGTTATGAAGTTTTCTTGCTAAAATTGTTTCACTTAAATCTAGTCAAGCTTTTGGATCAAACTTTCAATTTGTAGGAAGAGGACAGAATACCATGTTATACAACACCGTGAGAAAATAATCAAGACAAATCAAGAAGGGAGGACATTCCATAAGACAAATAGTCTGACCTAATCAAAAAGTCACTGTTGTAGAAAAAAAAAGTAGTAGACCTGTTCTAGATTAAAGGTGACATAACAGTGAAATACAAAGTGTGAAGCTTCACTGGCTCTTGGTCATAACACTCACAAAAATCATTTTGGGGACAACTGTGGAAATGGATGCAGTATTAGATGATATAGAGGCATTATTATTCGTTTTCTTGAGTGAGGTAATGGTTTCGTGGTTCTTTAACAGAATGTAGAGAATGTCTTTATTTCTAGAAATGCATGCTGAAGTATTTAAGTATGAGGTATCATGATGTCTGATAGAGACAGCAAAAGGTTAACAACAGTTGAATCTAAGTGGTGGGTACCACTTAGAATAAATGTTCATTGCATATTCTTGGGGAAAAAATTATTTCTTCCAAGACTGTAAGATTCCAAATGGTAAGGACTATATCCTCTTAATTTTTTTATCCCTAGCACCTAAAACGCATCCTGGTACAATAAATATTTGTTGAGAGAATGAATAAATAAAACAAAGCCCGTATTTTGAGCTACTGGGCTTTGGAGCTGGTAGAAATGGCAATTCTCTACATACTGAAGCCCTTTTCTGAAATAATTAACAGATATAAAACCTCTTATACTCTGCATGGCACCTATTAGGCACTTGTACATGTTAGTTCCCTAATTTACTTCCATCATTCCTTTGCCTCTGATACTCTTTAGACAAATGACTGATGTCATAAAAATTAAACCACTGCTTTGAAATTTCTCATGTAATAGACAAAGCAAAAATGGCAAGTAATTGGGTTGAAACAGAGATTAGAATTTATTGAGTTAGTCAGATCAAATGGACATTCATTTTGAACAAAATAGTATAAGAAACGCCCTAGCCTGGTAGATGATGGACATAAACGACAGGTCTGGACTAGTAGCAATAAGTAATAACAATAACAGCTGACTTTTTTGAGTACTTTATGTGTTTTATCTAATTGAATCTTCAGATAATTCCTTGTAGTTAGTACTGTAATTATCCTCATGACTTTGAAGTGAGGAAGTCAAGCTATGGAGAGGTAGCCAAAGGTCACAGGCTAGGTGGTAGAGTTGGTAGAGTTGGTAGAGTTGGAATCCAAACTATAATAACTACAGAGCTCTTACTTTTAACCGCTACTTTATGTTCTCGCCCACAGTCTTATTCCACGTGCGGGGTAGGAATTGGTCCCAGCACTCTTCTCAAAGATATGTTAGGCATCCTTCTAGATAATACCACAGAGTGTTACAGTCACTTAACGCAGGCAGACTACATGAGGAAATAAACGCTTACCTACAGAACAGATGGGATTCTCTCCTGAAGTTTTGAGCCTAAAAAGAGGGAGAGAGTATGTTGAATACAGTTAGATACCCACGTTTTACTTGCACAGTTATAAAAGCTTGTATACTCTTCATTAAGGATAAGTCAATGCCAGATATTTCTTTATTCCCTCCATCCCTCCTTTCCACATTTTTAAGTACCTAATATATTCCAGACAATGTACTAGGTCTTGGAATGCAAAAATAAGAAAATGCCTCTACCTATGGTCTAGTTGGGAGAGAGGCACTGTATGTAAACAAATGTGAGCTGCAATATAGTGCAGATCCAGAACAAAAACATATAAGATTTGGTGGCACACAAAGAAAAGTGTGATCATTTCCACCAGGGAGGTGAAACTATTTGAGCTCAGCTTTAAAAATGAACTCAATTATTTCTCAATTATTTACCCTTATAGGTAAAGCATTCTAGGCAGAGGTATGAAAGTGGTATGTTTGGGAAACAGCAAGCAGCTGGACATGAGTGAAACTTAAGCAGCAGGGAAGGGAGCAGGGTGAAAAAGGTAAACAGGGACCAGGTTATGAACTGTGCTAAGGAGTTGGGAGTCTCCTGGCAGAATTTAAGCATAGGAGTGATAAGATCAAATTTAAGTTTTGGAAAGTTAACCCTGACAGCAAGTGAGAAATAAATAGGAAGACGTAAGACCGAGGCAAGAGAACCAGTGAGAGGGTTCTTGCAATAGCCTTGCATTATCAGAACATGCTCAGGGAAGATGGAGAGGAAGGGGCAGCAGTGAAGCCCAGACTGGATACAGAAGCCAGAGAACATGGAGGAGAATAATATGGCTGTTTGGCTGACTAGGTAATCAGAGTACTTTCATTTAGTTGGAATAAGTTGGGGACAAGCAGATCTGTGATTAAATGCTGACTCCATTATTTCCAAACTGTGACCTTAGGCAAGTTGTTTTATATCTCTATAATTTAATTATCTCATCTTTAAAATGCAGATAATAACAGTATAATCTCATGGGACTGAAAATCCATCTTAAACTCTCTGAGCCAGTTTCCTCTTTTGTAAAATGCTAATATTTATATCTGTCCTGTAGTGGTTTTTTGTGACAAATAGAGAGAACATGTAAAATGCCTAGCAAGGTGCGATTGTAAGTACATATTGATTACTTGACAGATTAATGATGAAAAATAGGTTAAGATGGAAAGGGAATAAAAGGAGAAAGGTTTCAATAAATGTAAAGGATTAAAGAAATCATCCATGCTCATGAGTGTCATGTGGTCCAGGAAGATATACAATTCATTGTTTATATCATGTGGCTGTCACACATAAGACACTCAGTGAATATCTACTGAATAGAGAAATAAATAAACTATCAAATCTCTTCATTACCATCTGAAAAACAGTGGGGAGGTGGCATAATTTATATGCAGAAGCGTGAAAAAAAAACTTGGGTTTGAATCCTAATCCAGCTCATAATTAGCTATGTCATCTTACAGCAATCGATTAACCATTCTGACCCTCAGTTATTGATGCATAAAATTGAGATAATGTCACCTGTTTCAGGTCACTATGATGATCTAGCTAGTCATTCATTAAACAAATATTTATTAAATACAGATAATGTGTCAGACACCGTTCGTGGCTTTAGGGATATGGCAGTAAACAAACTAGCAAAGTCCTTATCTATGTGATGCTTATATTCTAGTGGGCAGGGCGAAGAAGACAGACAATTTAAATATATATATATATATACACATACGTATATTTAAAATGTGTCAGTGTTGATACCTGCTATGAAGAAAAATAAAGCAAGGTGAGTGGGGAGAGATTGATGAAGGGGGTTTATTTTATATAGGGTTGTCAGGGAAGGCCTCTCTGATGAGAATAAAGTAAGAGAGCAAGCCATATGAATATCTGAGGGAAGAATGTGCAGAGATCTGGGGTGGGAGAGCACTTAGATCCTCAAGGAATATAAAGGGAGCTAAAGCTGAGTAAGTAGTAGTATATCATGAGGAAACAGATAATATAAAGACTTGTAAGTCATGGTGAGAATTGTAGATCTTATTTTGATTAAGATGGGAGAGTTCTGAAAGGGAAGTGACATGAGCTAACTTGATTTTAAAAGAATCACTCTGATATTAGTGTGAAGGATAGAAGACAAAAGTGAATGCAAGGATAGCAGTTAGAAGGTAGGATGATGGTAAAGAAGATAAAGAGCTGGTCCCTAGTAGATTAATGAAAACACAAAGTATGAGACCTGAAACTGGAGGTGAGAAATGGTTTGATTTTGTAATATTTCAAAAGTAGAGCCAACAGGATTTGTTAAAGAATAGGATGTACGAGCATTTGAAATCTTGCTCCCCCAGCATATATCATCAGTTTGGCTCAAATAAACTCATAAAAATGGAAAGGAAAAAAAAAAGAATTGGATGTAGAGTGAGAGAAATAAGTGTCAGGGATGACTCTCAGAATTTTGGCCTGAAAAACTAAATGAGTGGAGTTGTCATTTACTGAGAATGCGGAAAGAGCAAGACGGCAGGGGAGTTCATGCTTGAAATGCTTAGTAGACATGTAAATGGAGATGATGGAAGAAATATGCTGTGTGAACTATCTAGCAGAATGTAAACAGTAGCTATAGTCAACTATTGTTATTAATATCCTTACCTTAAGAGAGGAAAGGCTTGCTTCAAAATGATATCGTTCCTTAGACACAGCACCTACAGCAAAACACCCATATTAGGACAACTGTAAGCATTCATAGACTTCCAAGCACCTCTTCTCAAAGAGGCTAGAAACCCGTAGTACACAAACCAAAAGGACCCAAAGGCTCTTGGCTAGCAAAGAAGCTGTCCTTTAGTTAATACCAAACATGCAGGCAAACCAAGGTCATCTTTTTTCTTATTCCACCCACTAGAGAAAATGCTCAAAAAATAGGAGCCCCCCTCCAATGCTGCCTTTTATTTTAATCCTATTTCCCCTTTCCAATTTGATCTATTTTTTCTAATATCAACCAACAACTACTATTTTTCCGCCAAGCACAGGACTATGTGAGGGACTTTCTTAACACTTCGTTAATTCTTAAAACACTGCAAGGCAATTTTACAGGTGAGGCAACTGAGGCTCATAGAGGTTATATTCCAAGAAATTATAGCTAGGAAGTGGCTAAGAGGACTGTTTTACTTCAAAGGCTATGTCTCTATTACAGCACACTGTATCTCTCAATAATAACAACAGTGATACCAACATTAACAGAACAATAATAATGAGAGGAGGTAGTGCCAGTGGCAGCTTCCCTCCCTAAGATTCCTCCCTCTCCAGTTATTTCAGTCTCACCCTGTCCTGCTGGGCACCCACTCAAAAGATCAGTGGTATAGCTTTACTAAAGGAGTATTTAACATAAAGGAGATATTTTTATAAAGTAACTATATAATAAATACTAAATGTCCTTAAGGTCACATAATATAAAGAGAAAATCCTGTCCACTCTGAGTAACAATTTCAGTTCCTTCAACATGAGTGTGTTAAAAGACTTTTCAGCAAAAACAAAGTCTGAGAAACGGTCACAGCCAATAGGAGCCTAAGGAGACATGATGGCTAAATGTAATAAAATATCTTGAATGGGATTCTTTAACAGGAAAAGGACATTAAATAAAAGAAAGAAATATGAATAAAGTATGGACTTTAATATATCAATATTGGTTCATTAATTGTGAAAAATGTACCATTACTAATGTAAGATAATAAAAGGGAAGATTAGATGTGAGGTATATGGGAATTCTCTGTACTATCTCTGCAACTTTTCTGTAATTCTAAAACTATTCTAAAATAAAGTTTATTTAAAAAAAGATTATTATGTGCCAACTACTGTGCTGAATATTAAAGGGCCTATAAAAGCAAAATGTAACAACATGGATGAACATTGAAAACATTATGCTAAGTGAAAGAAGTCAGTCACAAAGGCCAAATATTATATGACTCCATTTATATGAAATACCGAGAATAGGCAAATCTATAGAGAAAGCAGATTAATGGTTGCCTAGGGCTGAGGGTCTAAGGAGCTGGGGATAACAACAAAGGGATATGGGGTTTCTTTTGGGGTGATAAAATTGTTCTAAAATTGATTGCAGTGATGGTTGCACAACTCTGAGTATAATAAAAGCCACTGAATTGTACACTTTAGATGGGTGAATTATATGGTACATGAGTTATATCTCAATAAAGCTGTTAGAAAATGTAATCACAATCCCTGTCCTATAGGAGTTTGAATGGCTAGAGATATGGACATACATTTGTTTTTTTGTTTGTTTGTTTTGGGTTTTTTTGGACAAACATTTGTATCAAACAACTAAGCTATACTGCAAGCATTATGTGATTAAGTCACAATAGGTGGTGCAAACGACAAGCACCCCTGGCAGGAAATCCAGGTGGAGATGGCCAGAAGAAGTTGTTAGTTTTTGGGGTGTTACAAACATTGCTGAGAATCTATCTGCTCAAAGTCATGAACCTTCTCTCTAAATACATATAGGCATGGATATACAAAAATTTGCATACTACTTCAAGAGAGTCACTAAAATTCTTAACATCATCCATAGACCACTATGCTAAACCAAGAGATCCTCAGGGGCAAAGGTCATGTTGTATTCCTCTCAGGCACATTGTAGACATTCAATCAGGTCTTATTTTGGTGAATAAATAAATGATCATTAAGAACTGACTGAGTGATAATCATTGGTATTATTTATTAAGCACATACATCTATTTTGTTTACTACCTAACATGTGTCTAAATCATAATTTCCTTATAGGATAAGTATTATTATCCCATTTTACAGATGAGAAAACTGAGATTAAGTAATTTACCCAAAGTCAAACAACTACAATCAGAACTAGCATAGGATATTAGGTTTCTCTGACTCCAAAGCAAATAATTTTCTCATTTTATACGCTCTCTCACATAAGTTAATGTGTTGGTACTTAGGAAATCAGGGAGTGAGGAATGATCAAATTTAGGAAAAGTCTCCCAAAGAATGTGAGGTCATGAAGATTGGGAAGGATATGAATAGATGGAAGGAAGGGCAAAGTACATAGATGATCCTAAACATCACAATTAAGTCAGATCTTAAAAGACAGTAAAGTATGTGGGCAATATACTTAAACTAATATTGGCCAATACAAAAGATAGAGCAGGCAACTATGAGCCCTAGGAGACAGGAACTCCAGTCAGCTCCCCCACCACTGGCCACCATACTGTGGACCTCGAGAAGGAAAATATCTGCAAAGGGCTCCTCGTGGTTAACTGGGCCCAGATTCCTAACCAGGGTCTAGCAGTTATTGCCAACAGATGTCTCTTACACACTCTGCATTTCAGGGAAAAGCCACAGACTGAGCTGCCAGCCTCCTGCACTGTGCCTGCTGGTCCAATCAACCCTTACAAGAGAGCTCCTGGTATTGTATTTCAACCAATGGCTGGGACCTGCCCCATCCAATCAGAACTGCACAGCTATATTCTCATTTGCATCTTTACTGACCAATCAGAGCAGCTCCATAATGACCAATCAGAATGTGCAATTCCAACAAATCTGGTCGGTGCTATTTGGACCAATTTAGACTGTAGGGATTTGGATTCCTCATTTGCATAAAAATGCACCAATCAGGGATGAGGCAGGGACTTTATATAAGCATGTCTCACCTTTGTCTCCATGGAGTGCACTTTTGGCTTCTACTGGAGGTTGAATTTCCCTGATTTGCAAACTGCTCATCGGAATAAAGTTTCTACCCCTTCACTGCACAACCCAAATTGGGGATTCCTGTCAGCATTGGATTGGTGGCAGCCACCTTTTTGCCAACAATACCTTATCTAATACTTCCCCTCTCTAGAGTTACAGCAGATGACTCTAAGGTTCCTCCAGGCCCAAGATCTATCAACCATGACAAACAACAGAAATCAGAGTAAATAGAATATATTCTTAAATGGGTTACTTCATACAGAAAAGATATTGGATGGGAAGATCTGGATGAGACTGATTTTTCCTCACTTTAATTGTTCAGATTTCTGAGTCTCTACAACAGCAAAGGATTTAATTATCTAAGAGCCAGGCTTAAAGGTTGAAAACTTTCTGGAAGACATTCAAATTGTGGTGTGAACACTCCCTTTCAGCTCTGGGTAATGTGCTTCCTCTCCCCTGCAATGCTTGGCATTATTTATCAGGACCAAAGTAATCTATTTTGGGAATGTATCCACAAATACCCCTCCTCCCAGTCAGCAAATGAAGAGCAGCTCCAGCTCTGAAGCCAATAAAAGAGCAGGGTGGTGATGCTAGTGAATGAATGAATGAGGACACAGCTGCTGCAATGAGTTACAAAAATACTTGTCCCATGAGCTCGGGAGCCAAGAATCGGGAAAGGACTGTACTGCTACCAAAGAACTGAAGTCACAAGGCAAAACCTATAATGGGTGAGGTGCTTCAGAGATCAGAGCCCCAGAGTAGATGGTGATAGCAGTGGGTCAGGGTAAGCAACTGAGGGCTGTTTTATGAAGATTAACAGAATATATTTGTATACTAACAAATATTATTTAAAATAGGACTGTTACTGGGGCCAGCCGAGTGGCACGATGGTTAAGAACTGGCTTGGGATGCCAGAGGGCCCAGGTTCGGATCCCACATATGAGGGCCAGTGACACTGCCCTCCACAGCTAAG